GTGGGTAAGGAGTGAGGGGCAGCAGCAAAGCTGGGGGAACTGTGACTTGAAAGTGAGGGGCAGACACACAGACAGATACAGACACACAGACAGCACCAAGCTGGCAAGTGCAGGGGAAGAGGCGTGGGGGCATATCATGGCCCCCATGGTGAGGGAGGGAGTGGAACAGGGATGAATGGGGCCCCAGGGCCAGGGTAGGTCATATGACAGAGCCATGGGCAGTTTGTCCAGAGGCACATGGGGGGATCACGGATTCCCACAGCTGCACGCATCCTCAAGAGAGACATGGGGAGCATGTGCCTATCATGGGGCACAGGCATGCTGCAGGCTGGGACTCTGTGCCCTGCTGTCTTTGCCCTGGGAGCTGTGCACTGGCTGGTCTGTGCATCCTCTGCCTGCCCGGTGGGTGGCAGGCGGCACACTAGCATCATGTGGCTTCTGGGGCAAAGGCAGCAGGGCACAGAGCCCCAGCTCACAGCCCACCTCTTCCCCATGGGGACACATGCCCCTCATACCTTCTCCAGGGGTGCACAGGAGCCATGCTCATCCCCCCACCCCCCATGCCTCTGGACAAGCTGCACAAAGCTGTGTGACATGATCCATCCCAGCCCCAGTACCACAGTCACCCGAGCCCCTTCCCCACTCCCTCCCTCCCTGTGGAGTCTCCATCTGCCTTGCCTCACTCTTTCCCCTCTCCCTTCACCCCTCCACAGACTTACCAGCTGGGTGCTCTCTACATGCACCAGAAGAAAAAAGTCTTGTGATTTGAGGATTCTATCACAAGGTCTTGAGTGAAAGTTAATTTGATTTAAGAATCATGAGTGTTGCAATATTTTCAGGAGAGTTGGCATTGCTTTAAGCATGGCCTCCAGACTCCACTCATAGCCCCACCCATGGCTAAAAGGTGTAAAGAGTTAACAACATAAACATGTAAACCCTTAATTATGTATCTGTTAAACAGTCCCTTGCAAATTCCCCCTCACTTCAGTGTCTGCAGGGCTTCATTCCCCTCAGAGTACACAAACTCTTGTCCTCTAGTTTCTGTGGAGCTCCTTCTCCCCATAGCAGAGAGTCCTATTCAAGCCCAAGCAAGACCAAGACAGGAAGCTCCTACCCCTGCAATGGCTTATATGCCTCTGCCCCTCCCCTTTTCAGTCACCTGACCTGCGGTTTCCTTAATAGGGAATAGTAGTTTCCTATTAGCCTAACTAGCCTATTAGCAGGTCTGCTGCTATCCTCTGCTGCAATTCTGCCACCCTCAATCAATTGCCTCTAGCCTTCACCCCTCACTACAGGATAAGGGCATTGTTACTGTATGTTCGCAAATAACTACACTGAAATTATTGACAAAATACATGGAACAAAATATATAAAAGCAATGCATGCAAATGCTTTTTAAAAATTAAATATAAAAATAATTTAAAAACTTGCAGCTAATTATATTAAAACTGCATCTAGACTAAAATTATTTTTTCATACATTTTGGTAGAAAATTATGCATTAAATTACAACAGTGTACCTGAAATAGCTAAAATTATTCAACTAAGTGAGGAAACACAAAATTCAAAGTTAAGATTAGACATACAACTAGAGCTTTGTAAATAATTTCTTCTTTTTATTTTGTGCCCAAACCAAAAAAAAAAGGGGGGGGGGTTCAAGTAAAACCAAGTGCTGTATTTTCAGAGAATTACATGGGCTTTAGTCTCAATATATATATTTTTAATTATTTACTTTCCAATTATGTTATTCATTGTATTTAGACAGTATTCAGAACCCTACTTAGAATCATGATGGGATAGTGCTGGGCTTTCTACAAGTACAATAAATTCCACAATCCAACCCCCAAGCAATAAATTAAAATAAATTAACCAATGATGGAAGAAATGAGTACAACATCAGCTAAAATGGTGGGTGGGTGAGAGAAGATGAGCATAACCACATTAAGACTATCCACTAACATACTATGAAAAGGATGCTTGTGAACAGGGTGGCAAGATAAGCAACTTTGGAACCATGCCAAGTTTAGGTCAGATGAATGTTACTGTAGATAAAGTGGCTTCATTGTTCTGTACCACTGTTATAGAAGAATTGTGACAGTCAGAAAACCATAGTCTAGGCCAAGCCAGTGGTTTTAACCTGTGGTCTGTGGACCCCTGGGGGTCCATAGACTATGTTTGAGGGGTCTGCAAAAGGTGACTACTTTCAATGAAAAGTATGTGAATACTCCAATAACAGTTACAGTTCAAAGCGTTCTGCACCTCCATTCAAAATTTCCAAAGGGGTATGCACCTCCATTTGAAATTTTTAGGGGTCCACAAATGAAAAAAGGTTTCAAACCACTGGCCTAACGTATAAAGCTGCATTTCATTTCCAAAATAGTTCCGCGTGCCTTTATAAACCCCCAGAATTTTAGCTTTGCAAGTTATACATGAGGACTAGGCTTATCTGTGAACAGTGACAGCGACAGCAGCAGTGAGGGGTGGAGTGTTCCCCTTCCACACACCTGTTTCTAAGGGAATAGACATTGTGGAGTAACCCACCACCCCACCCACATCTACTGCTTCCACTGTTGCTGTTCCCAGCTGAACCCATCCTGTATGCAGTCCAGCTGCAGTGGTCAGGATTGGCTTTGAAACTTTCTGTGCCCCCAGAACAGTGGGCACAGCAACAGTGGGAAGCCAAATGGTGGGGGAGGGGCAGGATAGAGGAGAGGAATATGTCTTTGAGCACAGAAGTAAAGGGGAGAGGATTCTTATGTACTTTGAGGACTTCAAAAAAGAACACAGGGGCTCCTGTTGTATGATTCAGTCTGAAATGGGTGTACAACCACACCACCACACCCCTTCTGGGGCTCCTCTTTCTGTGGACACTGAGCAAGAGGAAGAAAGAATGTAGAAACTGACCATCATCACTACTTCCTTTCCCATCTATGCACTTCCTCTCTGCTCAACAATGTACTTCACTTTCAGGCAAGGAAGAGTAAAGCGGCAAATTATACAGAATATTATGGCAGTATGGAGACAAAATTTTAGTTGTGTTTTTGACCACATGCAACTATTCTTCCATGAAGTTCTAAGAGCTGCCCTAGAACTGATGTAAAAATGTCTGGCTTGCTTTTCCCATCCAACATCTTTACTTCAGTTATACACACATGCACATATTTAAAAGTAAACCAGACTAGGTATACATTATCCTGCATCTCCGTCCGCTCATTTGCCTTCCAACTAGGAAACTATTCCCTGAAAAATTTACAAGCTTCCTCGATTATTCCTGATAATACTAACTAGCTATCATGTTAAAAACAATGCAATGTTCACCAATACTTTTCATGTTAATCATGATATAAAATCCAAGACAGAGATATTACCACATGCATTGCCAAACAACACAACCAACAATTCATCCTTTTTGTACCCCAAATCTAGATTTAGTTCAAAAGTACCAAAGCTAAATGAAAGTGATATAGAAGGACATGTTGTTGTTTTTTTAATTTATTTTAAACTTGAATGAGGGAAATGCCATATATTTATCTATACATAGTGCCTTGTCTGCAAGTTGTCACTTAGTGAGTTATATTGATTAGGGCCGTGTGAAGCTTCAGGTGGCGATTTGATTTAGAGGAGATTTGGCCCAACACTGTGGCCAAATCTCCAAATCCGAATCAAATCATGGGACCAATTAAAAGGTGCAAATTGATGTAAAGCACTCCATATCTTCGGAAAAGATTTGGAGAGATTTGATGATTCAGGGAGCTGCAGCCAACTCCGAGCTGGGCTCAGAGGGTTGGGGGGGGACCGTGGGGGGACCCCTGCCAGCTCCCATCCCATGCCTGCTCCTTGCCCAGCCCCACCAACCCCTGATTACTCCCCCTGTCCCGCCCAGAGATGCCCCACCTGCCCCAGCTCCCAGAGTTTTTTTTAAAAGCCCCAGGGCTCACTGGGTGCTGCAAGGCAGGAGGGTGATCCCTACTGTTCCCCACGGCTCCATGCTACAAAGGGGGCTCCTAATGAGTCCCCTGTCACCCCTGTCATTCCCCCAGCCCCTCCACAGGTGCCCTACCTGGGCCAGCTCTGGCCCTTTAAGAAAAAAAAATGAGAAAAGTCCTGGGACTCACCACTCCTGCAGTGGTTTTGAAGCTTCAGGGGGCTTGTGTAGAGCCCCCACATGATGCAGGGCAGTGGCGATAGCTCCCCCCAACTGGCATGAGTGGTGACTCCAGGGCTTTTTTCATTTTTTTCTTAAAGGGCCAGAGCCTTGGAGGGTAGGGTAGCCACAAGGGGGGCAGGGGAGCTCATAGCAGAGACCCCCATGCAGTGTGGGGCAGCAGGGATCACCCTCCCCCACCTGGCAGCACTGGTGAGTCAGGGCTCTTTTTTTAAACAAGTGCCAGGAGCTGTGGTGGGTGGGGCAGCCACTGCTGAGCTGGAGGGATGGGCCTGGCTGATTTGGAGATTCAGCAACAGCCAAATCTATGAATCAGATTTGGCCAAATTGAATCAGGACAGTGATTCAAATCACCAAACCAAATCACTGTCCCCAAATCGGCTGAATCTGAAGCGAATACTAGCCACTTTGCACAGGCCTAGTATTTATGTTCTGTGTAAACTGAATCTGCTCAGCCACATAGTACAATATCAGTGAATCAAAATCAAACAGCCAGTGTCTACTTTTTTCCAGTTTGTAATGATATTCCCTCACAACTAATCCCTTTATGTTCCATCTCCTGTCATCTCTTATAGGCTGGTGGACCTCCTCCGGCGGGCTTTAAA